TTTCAATGAATTAATTTAAGAATCATAAATTTAGAATTAACTCTTCCATATAATATTTACTTCATAATTATTTTTATAATTTTTCTACAGTTACTCTAAAATTATGTTTATCATTTTGAAGTATTTTTATATACTCAGATCTACTTTCACTGTTGATTCAACAAAAAAATAAAACGTTTATATTTGAATTATCATTTTTTATAAGAATCCTTTATTTAAATACTGCTATTTAATCTTTTCTTTTCATTTTTTATTTCCCTGTTCTTTTTTTTTAAGAGTCAAAAATAAAAATTATTTTAATTTGTAATAGATTTTTTTTATAAAAATTTACATTTTACTTTAAAATATTATTTTTAGTATTAAGGTTTTAATTAATTTCATCTAACAATTTTAGTAGAGAATACTTTATCAATAATAAACACACATTAAATATAATTATATATTAAGCGAAATATAAAAAAATATAATAAAAAAAACATATGTAAATAAATAATGTATTAAAGTATACATTTGTTTTTCTTCATTAAATAATAGAAAAAAAATAATATAATTTAAGAATTAGTTAAAATTATTCAGAAAATACTAAGTATCATGGAAAATTAAATTATGAGATAATAAATAGGAGTTTAATTAAACAATGTATATTATATAATTTAAAAAATATATTTAATGCATAAATATGGATAACAAAAAAAATTACAATAATAAATATAATATTCTATCATTCCTATGAAATATTTTTTTTTACATTAATTTTATTAATGTAATGTAAATTATTAAATGAATGAATAAAAAAATAAAATGTGAATCATGAAGATTAAATAATAAGCAACAACTTATATATAAGTTTTCTATGAATTTTCATTTATATACAATTTTTTTAATTTGTAATTTTTTAAACTCCTATCATTTTGTTAATATGATTTTTTTTATTATATTAGAAATAAGATATATCTAAAAAAAAAAAAAAAAAATCTATTGTTACTTGTTTTTTTTCTAGAATTTTTTAAATTAATTAGAATTTTTACTTTTTAGAAAATCCAAAAAAAAAAAACATTAAATCTCTAGAAAATTGTTCATTAATACATACATATGAAAAAAAAAGAAAAAAAAATTTAAGGTATTGTTTATTGACTCCAAAATTTTACTAAATGTTAATTAAATATATGAAAATCATTTTTTAATACAATAACAAAATTATAAATAATTTATAATTTGTTTTATATTCCTAAATTTTATTTGCTTTTTGAAAATAGCATATAATTTATAAATAAATAGAAACATAAATAAAATGAAGAAAAAAAAGGATATATAATAAGTACAAATAATTAAAAATATAAAAATTAAGATAAAATATATGAGAGTTTTTTTGATGAAATAAATATTGGAAATTAAAATTTTAAATAAACAATAAAATACATTAAAAATATATATTTATTGTAACTTGAATCTTTTATAACTATTTTTTTTTTTTTTTAAATAAAAAAAATATTTAGACAAAATCATTAAGAAAAATTAAAATAAAAAATAAACATTTTCATTAAAGCAGAAATAATCAAAAATTATTCACACTTTTTAAGATATGGTAATATGAAAGAGTTTTTTTTACTAAAAAGTAATAATTTTTTTAGAAACATAAGATATTTTAAACATTTATAATTTATATATTTTAATATCCGTGCTAAAAATAAAGTTAATATTTCGTAAACATGTGTAAATAATAAAAGAAAATTACCATATAAATTAAATAAATGAAAAGAATAATTTTATTCTGTTCAATATGTTACTACCCTGATATAAATTGCTTTCATGTCCCATTTAATTAAAATAAATATAAAATTTAAAAAAAAAGAAATTATTTAAATTAATAATTATCTTTATTATTATTTTATTTTTTCTTATTAAATGCATTATTTTTTATAAATTATCCGTATTTTCCCTATTCTTTAATAAAAAAAAACATTTCTTAAAATTAGGAATACTAAAGAAATAACACTTTCTTTTTTTTTTTTTTTCAAAATTTATTATTCAATAAACTTTTTTTCTATACTTTAATATGCTTATTTTACAATTCGAAAATTTATTGCACTCTTTCTAGAATAAGACAAACCTTAAATATATATTTATATATATAATTAGAAACATAAAATTCATATATATTACTTATCTAAAACTTAATTATAGATATGTTGAAATATTAATCTTTCTATGTAGACAATTTTGTAATATTGATAGTAAATCCTATCTTTTTTTTAATACATCTAAATCATTTATGAATTGAAACATTTTATACAGAGTTTAATGAATTACAAAATTATAAAAAATGAAAAAAAATGACTATACTTCTCTAAAAACAATATGAATAAAATTTTAATGAGTTTTCTATCTTCTATACAATGTCTTATAGCAATAAACTACAATTAAAATCATTTAATAACATTAATGTAAAATCAATAAAAAAACAGAAAAAATAAAAAAAAATATGAAGTAATTTTTTATTAACATAAAAAAAAAAATTATGCACTTTTAAAAAATTATTTTTCATAATACATATAGTATTTGAAAAAATTACATATTTTCTTGAAAAAAAAATTTGAAGAATTAATTTTAATATGTCATCATATAGTTTTCTATTATATAAATGTGTTAATAATTTAAAAGTTAATTATTACAGATGTATTTCATTGACTTTTTATTTTATCTGCACATTTATAAAGGGATCACACTTGATGTATTACATATATAAAATATGTTTAATTTTATTTTTAAATAATTATAAGAAATAAAAAATAAAAATTTAATCAAACATTTTTTTGTTATTCTTTTTTTTCTTTTTTTTTTTTTTTTTTTATTGTTTTCCTTTTTCTTTCTATTTATGCTTCTCTTTTTACTATGCCTAATTTTTCTTTTTTTCCTTTATATATTCTTAAATTAATCATATAATTCAAATATTTGTTATTTTTAAATCTTTTACAATTTAAATAATTTTTAATTAATAATAAAAGTACAAACTATAAATGTATAAAATATATACATTTTAAAAATTTTTAAATATAATTAATACAAAAAAAATAATTTGTGTAAGTGTGAACAAAAGTTGAAAAAATGAAATAAAATAAAAAATAATCAATTTTTTGTGTTTTCTATTTTCAGTTTTTTATTTTATTAATTTTTTTACTTTTCATTTTTTTTTTTTAACTGATTGTTTTGTATAATTTTTTTTAAATATAAAAAGTTTTTTAGAAAAAGAAAAAAAAGCATAAAAAATTAAATTTATTTAAATGATTTTTTACACAAAATTATTTTTTTTTTTTAATATTTTAATTCATTATAAAAAATGTAAAAATTTTTGACTATATATTATTTTTAAATAAGTTTTATATTCTGACATCAAATCTTATCTATAAATGAGAATTATATATATATATATATAATTTTTGTTTATAATAATATACTAAATTTTTTTACACTATATTATTTTCATTAAATATTATATTTATAAAAATATACTCATAAATAATAGATGAAGTTGTAAAAATATATGAAAATTTATAGATTAAAATATTAAACTTTCAATATTAGCAAGTAAAATTTATTTTAGGAGTATGTTTTTTTTTTCAATTTTTTTTTTTTTTTTTTTTTTTTTTTTTTTTTTTTTTTTTTTTT